AAAATACTCTCAAGAAGTTTAAAAACACTACACACTCAGAAACTATCAAACTTCTAAGAAAGGTAAAAAGAGCCAATTTGAAAGCATGAAATTGATTTTTTTAAAATGCAACAATATAGTTGCATTACATCATGGAATGACTGAACAGGTTTCAGGTTGTATCAAAACCTGGTTACAGGTTTCTTTCATTAAATCTATTAAAACATAATATACCTTTTAGCCTTCAATGAAACAAAATTCTTCCTTAGCGTATTATTTGTAATATACTTGTATCTTTTTCCAACTTAATAAATATAAGAGATTTCACCATTACAAATGTTGGTTCCAAATTTTAGTTTGTTACTGATATGTAGATACCACAAACAGCATGTACAATTCCCCAAAGAATTACAAGTTACAGAAGGCTTATGCTTCAAATCCCTACCTCCCATGTTTATTGCTCCACGGGGACCCATATCACCCATTCTCATTTCCTGTTCTCTCTGTAAGTAAGCATAGTTGTCACAGTCAACCTATCGATCTTATGACTTTACATTTCCCATCTAAAATCAAAAAGAAAAGAATCAATTGGGACATCACTTTCCATTTAAAAAAATTAAAATTTTCCAACATCACTTACTTATTAAGAACACTGAAAAGAAACTTCAATCTCCCAGGTCTGATATACCACAGAGCTCAAGCACTCAGTTTATACTACTAGATTATCAATGTGTCAGATTACATAAAATCTACCACAGAACATTTTTAATGTCCAATAGAGCAAAGACATATGCCTAGATTCCAAAAAAAGAAAAATCTAGTATTAATAACCACCAGGGCCAATTATTTTTTCCTCCCAGGACACTAAAGTCTTAAAACAAAAAGACCATTACCCCTTTTATATTCAAATGTATTCAAACATCCAACACAAACAGCTGTGGGGCACTAAGCTAAAAATAAAGTTATATAGACAATTTTCATGTTAATACATCTTTGCATTTTTATTCAAATACTTGAGCATTGTTTCACCCAAGACCTAAAGATTTGCCATGAAAAGTCTCCATGACACACAAACAGTTGTTAAAAGTTCAACATAACACTGCTTCCTTTATTTGAACAAAGGTTTTGCTTGGAAATCTAAATAAAAGTGTTATTACACAGTCGGCAAGTTCTGAAACAAAATGCTCTTGAGGTTAACTGTGATACAAAAGGTCATGCAAATGACAAACTTTTAAATTTCAGTAAAATTCAACTACTTCGGAAAACTAATTTATTAACAGTAGTTATATAGAATTAATGTCGATGAAATCTCTCGGTGAAATTACTCAACATACTGTAATTCAAATTTGCACTATTATTTAATGACCTTTTCCATAATCAGACCAGTGTGTTAAATGTAGCAATCATAAAACACACTGAGACAAAAGTAGCAATGTCTAAAACTTTAAAAAAAAAAAGCACAATTTTTCTTTTAAAAACAATTCTATTAAAATGTGCTTAAAATTCCATTTAGTAATACAAAATACCAGTGAAAAGCACCTATAAAAGCTAAGGAAAAAAGGAAAGAAAAGCCTATGGTATATGGTAGATAAATGCCACTAAGCAGCTAATCAACTGCCCATATCTAACCTAATGGACATGCCTCAAAATGTAACCTTTAATGAAGCTGTGGTAAAAAACAAAACAAAACACATCATTTACATAGCATCATGAAGAAATGTTTGTCACATTATGTAGAAAATGTAAATCCCAAAACTTTCTCAAAGCTATTTTTTTTTAAACTTTCCTAAAACTAAATTTGTCTCTTCTCATAAAACGTTTGGCTAGTGATGGATACTACTAACAAACAAAACAGCTAGACTATTTCATAGAATGGGTTTCTGATGAAGTCATATGGAAAATACTACTTTATGATCACACTTAACACTATCAACAATAAATGAAATCCAAGTTGTCATTTCCTCATCACTAGAACCTGATAAAATGTAGACTGCCTTCAGCATATCCAAAATCATCCAGGTATTATTTATAGCAGATACTTATTATTGAAAAGCTGGTTCCATTTCAGCACCACAGTAAAATACACGGATTTTTTGATCATGACATCTTTGGGGAACAAGGGTTTAATTTTAATTTTTATTTTTGGATTTGCCTTAACTATGAAAGATGAAGAATGCAATATCTAACCAACAGAGGGTAATTATGATAGTCTTATTGTTTGAGACTTCAATTTTCAAATCCCCCTTAAGTATTCTGACATCCTAACTGGATGCCTGTGATTCACTGGTGAGGGCAAAGAAGGAGACGTTTTTATTATCTCCTTATAATTTCATCTGCACCTATCATTTTCCAAAATAACAATATTTATTAGCTTTATTATTCACAAAGTTCAGTACTTTTTAAATTATTCTATTATTCTATTTTCTTCAATAGAATTCTGAAGAGATTAATATGCTAAATACATTTATGGATTTTTTAAAAAAGCTTTTATTTATTAAATAATCTCTATACCCAGCATGGGGCTCTAACTTATGACCCCAAGATCATGAGTCACATGGTCTACTGATTGAGCCAGCCAGGTGTCCCAAGACTTATGGTTTTTTAAGTCAATTTATTCAACAGTAGCCATAACATTCCCTTTCTGATGCTCTATTAGAAACTGGTTCCAGGGGCATGTGGCTAGCTCAGTCAGAAGAGCATGTGACTCTTGGATCTCAGGGTTGTGGGTTCAAGCCCCACATTGGGTGTAGAAATCACTTAAAAATAGAAACAACTTGTTTTCCAGTTTTAAAATATCTTCCTTTAAATGAGATAATCAGAATGTCTTACAATAATACATGCTAATGTAGCATATCACTATGCTAAAATACCTATATATATAAAAGCATTTTTCACTAAATACACATACACTCAATTTATTTAATACTGTTGATGCTTCCTTAAAGAAAATTACTAAGTACTATTTTATACAGCTTCACACATTAAGAAAAAGAGATAGCATAATTAGATGACAGATCATTTTTTAACTATTTTAGAAGGAGCAAAAGAAGTTTTCAACTTCCTAGTCCTATCTCTCTTTTTTAAAGATTTTATTTATTGGTCAGAAGGAGGGAGAGAAAGAGAGAGAGAGAGCAAAAGCAAGAGGAGCGGCAGGCAGAGCAGGCAAGAGAAGCAGGCTCCTGGCTGAGCAAGGAGTCCAATACGGGACTCGATCCCAGGACCCAGGGATCATGACCAGAGCCGAAGGCAGACGCTCAACTGACTGAGCCACCCAGGCGTCCCTTCCTAGTCATATCTTAAGATTACTGTCATTTTATCAAAATCCACTGCTACATACTTCTAGTAAAATGCAAGGGTCAGAGATTATACTTAAAGGTAGTGGTTAGCAATGAATATTAAGACAGTACTTCTCATTATTAACTTGATTTATCAAATATCAGTAAGGAGAAACTTGGAAGTTCACTATTAACTGTGTACCCACCCAAAAAGCAACACACAAGACCCTCACTTCTATGAATTCTAATATTTGAAATTAGAACTGGTGCATAATATATATGGTTTTGGAATACAAATCTTAATGCTTTATTGCTTTATACCAAAAATTAAGAGTTACGATTTAACGTGAAACAACATATAGGTAAACACAATCTTGAAAGACTGCACTGCAATAAGATAATAAAGCTATGATTAAAACTTGGTTTAATTAATTCAATTACTCTTCATAGCAACCCTATAAAGTAGGTCTACTGTTATCCCATTTTAGAGATCATAAAACTGAGGCACAGCACTGTTAAATAACTTACTCAAGGTTGAAATGACCTAAAAAATTCTGCCAAGAGATTTCATTAAGTTTTTACCTTCACAAAACACCTTCATTTTTTTCAAGGATTCCAACAAAGCCTAACAAAAGGCAAGATTTTTAATTTATTCTTATTATATTCATAAGTCGTGCTTTTCCATTAAAAGAATTATGCATATGAATTCCTGAGCTTGTCACTGAAGTATGCTTAAATTCACAGCTGACCAAAAAAGCAAGCAAAGTATGACTGATTTCCAAAACCACTTATCACAGCAGCATTCCATTAAAAAAATGTATCTCAGAGTGTGGCTGATGGGAGTACTGAGTCCACAAGACCCTTTCAGGAAGTATACAAATTCAAAACTGTTTCATGTCTTACTAAACATTAGAACACAATTATAAAACTATCATCTAACTGGGCTTTTCAGTCTATCAACATTTGTAGGGATGGTGTACAAGCAATTGGAGGCAAAAATCTTGGTATTTTAGCACAAATCAAGGCACTTACACTCAATTTTTACTAGTAACTATCATTGTTACAAGGGAGCAGCAGGCAGGACAGCAGGAGAAGCTGTCTGCCCACACAACTAGCTTTAAAATTTCAACTAGAACATGTAGATGAATACGTAGAGGAAGCAGTTAAAATTATTTTTATTGAATCACTGCATGTCTTTTTAATTATGCAACAAAGCCAGATACATACATAAAGCACTTCTGCTGCCTTCTGAAACAGGGTAGTCCTTCAAGAAAAACATTCTTATGACTGGGTTGTAAACGGAACAAGACAGCATCTGACAACTATGATTACTGATTACTTGTGTACAGGTATCCCTTGTTTTTCAAAAATGTGCATTACACCACTTGGCTTTTATAAAAGACCTACATTTGTAGTACCTGTTTTTGCCAACCAAAGAAGGATTTTCACTTTTATGGAAAAAGGCAAAAAGTGAATATAAAGTTCAGTGTGTTTTGCAGCAAGCAATTTTAGAGGCAGCACAAATCTAGAGCAACAAAAAGCGCTACCACCAAGCTCCCACCCCTGGGAACTATTCTTAGCACCTCAGGATCAAGCTGCCATAGCTTTGAACTATGTGTGAACATCTGTGCTTTATCTAGATTTATTCTGTGCATCAGTTAGCAAGATGTGTACTAAAGTATCAGAGAAGCCTATGAGGTTATAATTTGGGTTCAGAAACTTTCCAAACATTTTTCATATAAATATTAATGGTAACTGCTTCTTCATTTTATGCCATTTTGGCTTACAAAAGGTATCACAGGAATGTTATACTTTGGGATAGCATTTGGCAGACATTTTCTGACAAGATCAGTGGTTGATATTAAGAAATGTGATTTGTTTTTAATTTTGTGTAATAAAATACATTAAAATTTAGAAGATGTGCATAACTTAATGGATCAGTATTTTTCTAATGTCTGGTACATGACATTACAAAATCATGCATGGGTAAAAAAATAATCCATTCAAAGTTCCAGGTAGCCTAATGGATTATAATGCAATGAAAACTACTACTTGTCAAGTTTTCTGTAGTATTTAACAAAAATATCCACAATTATCTGAAAAGGTTAAAAATATTCGTCTCCATTTTACTAATTACTTATCTAAGTAAAGCCAGATTTTCTTCATGCACTTTAACCAAAAGAGCATTCTGCAACAGATGGAATGCAAAAGCAAATATGGGAAACCAGCCATTTTCCATAAAGCCAAACATTAAACAAATTTACAAAACAGTAAAACAATACCACTCTTCCCACTACATTAAAGTGGAACATCAAGAATTATCTGCAAAAAGTAAAATAAGGCCAGTGTTCCCACTACAGCCCATTTTCTTTCAACTTTCTCTCTTATTATCTAATATGGTAAACACTGATGTAACAAAACAAAACAAAAGCTCTTAGGGGTCTTCAATAATTTTTAATAGTGTAAAAAAATTTCAAAACCAAAAAGTTTAAAAACCAATGCTTTTTAAGTTCCAGTCAGTATTCGTTCATGAAAATAAAAGCAGAAAATTTGCACTAATGTAAAGTAACTAAACCAGTGCAGAACTTTACATTATTTTATATAGAATAGGATCTTTTCCTTAAATAATTAATACTCAAAATATCAACCTGTGAATTTAAAGATACTGTAGTTTTTAGATAACCAAATTTAAAGGATTCACACAGTACACAAAGATGAGGCTAAAATAAAGTATAATATGAATGCCTAAGATTTAGAAAACAGTGAACTATATAAATAATGATTTAACATAGTATCAACTGAAACATTCTGCAATGATAAAGATATATTCATCTGACACTAATTAAATTCCTGTTTGAATGAATGCAGTCTTAATGACCACGATCATCATTATTCTTTAATTTATAAAGATCTTTCACGTACATTTCTGAAGAAGCCTCTAAGGGATTGTCAAAGGATCACCAGGTACCATCTACATTCGATGTCTTGATAAAGAAAATGCTAAAATTCCCTATGTAAAAATACTGACACAGAACATTTAAATCTACTAAAGGAAATATAATTCTAGAGAAATGTCTTAAGTCTGGGAAATAACAAGATTCAACCTTTTTATAATTATTTCTAAAAATAAATTATATTTAGTACTTGGAAACATATCTTTTCCTTCACTAGAGAAGATTACATAAAGAATAAAGATTATTAGAAAGCTAGTCAAACTGTCAAGAGAGAAATTAAACAAATTAGCAGCTGAAATACTATCTAACAAACACCATATCTCGAAGTAAAAAATGGAAAAATCAATTACATGAAATATTAAGAAAACAAGTATAAAGAAAAAAATTCAAAATAAAAGGTAGGCCTCTTTGCCAAGAAATTACTCACTCATTTAGAAAGTGTTACAATCCTGAAGGGTATGCATCAACAAAGTAATCTTTTCTTAATAAAAATGAAGTAATTTTAAACTAAAAAGGGAAGTAAGACATGTTCCCACCAATATAAATAACAGCATGCAAACTTTCAAACATATGAACAGAGAATGCTTGGAAGACATTTTTACTTCAAGTAATTAAAAACAGTAACTTCCAAAACACAGTACTCACTACTAGAATGGGGGGAGGGGGGTATTTTTTAAGCAACCTAAGACAATCTTTCAATAAATACAGTCTATGATGGATTTTTTCCCCCAGTTTGAATACATGCATTCCATGATATCTGCATACACGAATACTGGAAAAATGTTCCTCAGTTTTATGACTTAAAATGAAATTTTATACCATATATCAATTAGGCAGTTGCAAATTAAAACAATGAGATACCACAACACCCCAACTGGAATGGCCAAAATCCTAACTGACAACACATAGTGCTGACAAGGATGTAGAGAAACAGGAATTCTCATTCACTGCTGATAGGGATTATAAATGGCATATTCACTTTGGAAGACAATTTAACAGTTTCTTACAAAATTAAAGATACTCTTACATACATACAATCCAGCAACCATACTCCTTGGTATTTAAACAAAGGAGTTGAAAACTTATGACCACACAAAAACCTGCACATGGATGTTTACAGCAGCTTTTTCAGAATTGCCAAAACTTGGAAACAACCAAGATGCCCTTCAGTAGGTGAATAGATAAACAAACTGTGGTACATCCAGACAATGAAACATTATTTAGCACTAAAAATAAACAAGCTATCAAGCCATGAAAAGACATAGAGTAACCTTAAAATGCTTATTACCAAAAAGTCATTATGAAAAGACTACATATTATACGATTCCAACTACATGACATTCTGGAAAAGGTAAAACTATAGACAGTAACAGAATCAATGACCAGGATTAGGAAGAAGAGAGGGATGAATAGGTAGAGGACAGAGGATTTTTAAGGCAGTGAAACTATTTTGTATACTGTAACAATGGGTACACGTAATTATACATTTGTCAAGAGTCCACAGAACGTCCAAAACCAAGAGTGAACCCTAACATAAACTATGGTCTTTTGGTGATAAGATGTGTCCTTCTGATAGTGAAGGAGTCTGGATGTATGTTAGGGGAAGGATGTATATGGGAAATCTCTATCTTCGGCTCAATTTTGCTATGAATCTAAGACTACTCTAAAAATTAGTCTATTAAAATTATTTTTTTGTGAGAGAGAGAGCGCAAGAGAGAGAGGAAGCACAAGCAGGGGAAGCAGCAGGCAGAGGGAGAAGGAGGCTCCCCACTGAGCACGGAGCCTGATGTGGAACTCGATCCCAGGACCCTGGGATCATGACCTGAGCTGAAGGCAGATGCTTAACCAATTGAGCTACCCAGGCATCCCTATTAAAAATTTTTAATGTTTCTTTTTGAATAATCAATTATAAATATATTAATTTATACTGTAATTTTTAGTCATGAATAAAAATTTGTTACTTGTTAAATTTCAAATCAGAAGTAAGAGGAATTAACAAATATAAGTAGGGGGACTTACATCTTATTAGCTCACTATATTCATTAACCTCAAGATACATATCTCTTAATCTAGAGTCCCTCAATGTATTTTTAAAGCCTGGTCTGGGTACCTTTAAGAGATTATTCTGGTGTCACTGTCAAATTCAGAAATTAATTGCAGCTTTTTAATTACTAGGGTGGTTTTTTAACTGAAGATTAATTAAATCTAATTACATATAATCACCATATATCAAGAGACAGAAGGGAATAAATATTTTAAACAAATTAATTTTTTAAACAAATTCATATTCAACTGAGAATACTTTTAACCATATACCCAAGGGACATTTTCAAAAATTATCATCATCATCACTTTTCAATTGTCATGGCAAACTCTGAAGAGATGCTTTTAAAAACTGAAATTGATTAGGAACATTTATTCTTCAAATTTAGTTATTTTATCCTAAACTCTTAAAGAAATCAGCCACGACGGTATCAACTACAGCACAAACACAATATTTTGAGTAGTATTCTATCAAAGCTCACATAATACTGGTAATTGGTTTGCATTTCTTCACCCATAACCTCTTAACCAGTATATTTCCTTATCAAAGTCAAAACAACTATCATGACTGGCCAGACCAAGATATGAAAGATGAAACAAAAAGATAAATATAAACTGTATAAGAAGAAATGCCAAATTGGCCCCATCAACAGAAGAAGGCAGTGGAAGGAGCAAACGAGCACATGTGTTCCAATATATAAAGAATTAAAGTATGTATTTAATGGGGAATCTTTTTGTTCATGATACTAAGTCATTAAACAAATTATTTCAGTAGTATGCCAGAAGCTTTTAAATTTTAACAAATTATATATTTTTCCTAAGTAGATAACTCAAAGCAACAGGTACAATTATAGTAATTTTAAAAATATGTAAGTGGTAACTAAATAAAATTCAAATACTTAAAATACACAATTTAAAAGAAACTACTATAATAAGCATATCAACTGTTAAAAAGCAGAATTTTAAAAAGCAGTAATAGGCCAAATGAAGAAGTTACTTTGTGAGAAACATGGTAAATTTACAACCAGAAAACAAAGAATTTGAAATGTGGTGTACAATATAGTGCAGAATAAGACAAAGTATAGGCAAACTTACCCATATACTTTCAATTATTTGAAATTTTAAACAGAAATAAATGCATTTCATCAGCAGAGCATGCTCACAAACCCAAGTTCCTACCCCCATCACTAATAGATAATAACTACACAAAGATATTAACATTCACATTTATTTAGTCTGATTTGGTATAAAATACTGACATTTCAGGTGATACTACAGAACTTCATGTCCTCAATACAAAGTACAGAAGATACTAATGGAGACTGGGTATAAAACTCTGACATTTCAGGTTATACTACAGAACTACAATACAAAGTACAGAAGATATTAGATGGAGACTAACCTAAAAAAAATTTTTTTTTTTACATAATCACCTTGTAAAACAACTCCTGTTTGAGGGGAGCTCTAGGTATAACGTTAAGAAGTCACAAAGCAGAAATAACAGGTTAAATTTTTATGTCTTCCTAGAATCTTTTTAAGTTAATACCTAAAAATTCTTATTTATATCACCCATGTGACACCTCAAAAACTGTTTACTTTAGTTGAATATTTCTATTTGCCAAACCTGACTTTCCTCCTCTCCAACCCCAAGAAAGGTAAACATTAACTGAAAGATCTCACCATTCTGAACAAAATAAGATTAGAAGGACTTACCATTTCAAATGAAAAGACATGATGTATACCTACAACACAGTGGAATAATAAACCAACCATTATCAGTTAAAAAAAAAAAAACCCATCCAAAATAAGTTCCACAACAGTGCTAAAGCTACTCAATGCACTCTTCACATTCCCTAGCACAGAATCTTTCTCTAAACTCTTAAAACTTTTTAGCTGTATCTCTCTATATTCCACAAAGATACTCTGCACCTATAATACTGTAAAATCCTCAAAGACCTGACTCTGAGCTTGATTCACTTCTGTATCGTCCATGGTATTCAGCACTCTGTTCTGAAACAGTAAAACAGTGACCAAATTTTCTTACTAAATGGAAACCTCTAAATCTTCCTGTAAGTCTAACATTCTGATGGGATATTCAAGTGGGATCCGAATATTGAAAAGTTAGATGTGCTGAAAACCAAACACAAAAAATTGTTATTTATTTTTAAAAATGTACTCTTCATTATGTGAGTCCATTATGAAGTCTACAAAAATCTACCAATACCACCTGTTTCAAAACTACAGATGTTTAACATCTTAGACATTAGTATTCAATAAATACTGAAGTATGGTGACCCATAAAGAACAGTGAAAATCATGACTGGGCAGCACTGATATTTGAAAAACAGGACACCAAACAACTATTTAATTCTCCCAATTTGTGTCTAAGTAATAACTACAATATGACAAATACAAGACTCTCAAACTCAAAAAATTCAGAGAGCTAAATTAGTTGGCAACAAAGTCAGAAAATAATTAGAATGCAATGTGGTAAGTACTAAAAAAGAATCACATTGAAAATGATACACCTAGGTGCATAGTCAGAGACGGTTATGCATACACTGAGTACATCTCCAGGAGAAGAAAAGATATACAGAAATTTTTCTGGGTTATAAGCCTCTCTGAAATGCTAATGGAAGGTAGGACGGGAAAAAAAGACACTAGTCATCTAATATGACATAGAAATAATTAAGTACAATAAAATGTCTTCTAGTAAAGTGTGTATAGAGTTTAAGGGAGACTCAGCATTTCCATTTGGAATCATTTGGAAGTCTTTTAAATATGAATGAAAAAACTTATTTATAATCATAACATATGACTGGACAACCATACATCGTGCTTTGCCTGAGACAGCCCATTTTCTGCCTGCTGTAATAAAAAGTAACTTTGAATAGTACCCATATTCAGTTGTCCCAGTCTGAATGAAAACTGTTAAGCTTTCCCCTACATATGGTTAGTTATTACTAAAACTATTAAAAAATCCTTTGAGAAGTTTCAAAGAGAAGTGATCAAAGATTTCCACAGCTGGTTAAAACTGACATTTATCTTCAATCCAAATACCCCCAGTTTTCAAAGTCCCTAAAGATCACTTCCAAAGTATATGTAAACATTACAAATGTAAACATCTATTGATTTTTTGTCTTCACTGGACTACAAAGGTCTAATTCCATCCCAAATATTCAGAAAAGTTCCTGGCTCACTGTAAGAAACACATTAGATTATTTTAGTAAATAAACAAATGAAAACATTAATAAAACTGGTCACAACTAGAGCATTCTACAGGAAACCACTGCAATATAACTGATATAATCAATTTTGATCTTTATCATCATGTCCAAATCACTGGAACTGGGCTGCCACTAACAGCAATAGGTACACTAAGCTGCCCAGCAAGTCAAACCTAAATCTGACACCAAATCCTACAGCAAATAATTTTTTAGTTATTTCCACAGAATAATGAAGATGCTATAAAAATTCCTTGTGAAATGTCCTTTTTGTTTGAATACTTCAGGTGTTTAGACTTCCAAAAAACAATCTTCTTCTGCAATACAATCAAATCACTTGTTAGAGCTAAATAATTTATAGAAAAGAGGAGTAATGGCTAGGTGGAAACCACAAAATGGCAACTTCTCTCAAAAATTCAAAAATCATTTCAGAAAATGTATTTGTACCTACTCATTAGTAATTAATGATTAGGGTCAGTTCTCTCTGCCAGCACCTATTAATTAAATTTTATTACTGGCGAGACTTTCTGTTTTGAGTTTTGTACATGGCACATCAGGGAAAGCTGTGTTATAATTAAGTCAGAGAAAAGAAACAATGCCCACTTGAGAAGCAGGAAAAGAGACTACCACAAAGTAATGGCTGATTAAACAGGCCAAATTTGGCCTGGAAAGGGTAACATCCGAAAGAACAATGCTTTATGTCTCTACTAAGAAAACATTTGTAAACTCTAGGATAATCAGCTATGGGGCAGTGATGCTTTATCAGTTCTTCCAATAACTTTTGCTCTGATTTATAACCATGACTACCAATAAACCTTCAGGATGCTAATTTGGATTCTTCAGGGACCTTGATTCTAGGATATGAGGTGCTCTGTTCAATAAGCCTTCTAAAAACACTGGAAAAAAACATATTAATTAATAAATTTGCATTTTATTCACAAACTCTTTGAGTTTGGTTAACATGAGTCACTTTTTATAGATTACTCCCAACTCTCATACTGAACCTAGACCAGGGGTGGGCAAACTCTTTTGGTAAAGGGCCAAAATAGTATGTATTTCAGGCTTAGCAGGCCAGAGAGTCTTGATATAGTCTCATACAGTTGTGTCATGACTAGTCAATCTACCACTTTTGGACAAAGCAGCCATAATCAAAACATAAACACAACTGTGTTCCAATAAAACTGTTCCAAAAACAGGCAGTATTCAGATTTAGCCTGGCTTACCCTAGTCTGTCAACCCCCGGTCTAGATGAAATACTTAAAAAACAAAAAGTTAATGCATCATTTGAGACAATACCTCCTCCACATATAGGCTGAAAGCTCAACTAAAAGTTGTCACACCAAAATCCCACAGAGCACTATTTACATAAAATGTTGTGCTACTTCCATTGTTAAGTGTATGAATCCTATCCACCATGCTGACTGACTTTGAGCCCTCCCCTCAAACTCCCAGGTTCCATAAAAAATTCAACTACTACTACCCTTATTTCAGTATTTCAACTATGTCTCATTTCAACATATGGCCAATGGTCTTCTATTTTTGCTAATTAAAATAAGCAGACTGAAGAGCTTAAAATGCAGATCCCATGGCTCCAACTCAAGACATTTTTCTTTTTTAAGTTGCAAAGATGTGCTGCAAAGGTTGAAAAGTACTGAATTTAGCCAAAAATGTGATCAATGGAGAATGCATCAGATTCTACTATAATCGTTAAACGAATCAATTTGTAGGTTGGAGACCTAAGGGAAAAACCCACATTTTTAAAAAGCTCCCTCGGTGTTTATTATGCACTATTTGAAAAACATTACCATGGAAGAGGCATTACACCCTTAGCCTCTGGCTACATCTCCTTAATGCTCTTGGCCTCACTATATAATATACTGGGTAGCCACAATGGAACTACTCTGACCAAGAAACATAACTCAATCAAATTATTGCCTTAGCATATAACATACATTTATTTCCAGGTTTATTATGCACATGTGTTTAAATATCCAGGGCTATTCCCACCTACTCAAACAAAAATAAAAATTCTTCAGTATCAATTCATGTACGTATTTCAAAACAGATCTGAAGGGCTATTCTTTTATTCACTAAAAAACCACGAACATTTATATTCACAACAGAAACAAACGTCTAAAAAAAAAAAAAAAGAAACTTGAAGTTTTAAAACAAAATAGCATCGCATATGAACATTGCCCCAATTTACCTAAACAAAGTATTTTATAATTACTTGATATAACTACTAAAGCTAGAATGACATTTAGATGTTTTTATAATCTTATCATTTTCCCAAGAAAGCAAAATTTACTCTAAGTAACTGCATTAAAAAAATATCCTAATTAAAATCTCCACTTTACACCAATGCAAACTGAATCCACAGATAAAAACTGGTATACTGCAGTACTAAAATGTTTAATATAGTAAGTGGAACAACCTAATATAAAAACAATCACAAGACAATCATAAGAGACAATCTCATAAATTTTTCCACTAACACTGTAACTTATTGTGATGTGTCCAAAAGCTATAAAACTGTGTTAAGTAGGAAACTTCAACCTAGTAAGTACTATAATGAAAATGGTTCAATATTACACTCTATACTACGGTAAAGGTAAAGATAAACCTAAATGTATTTAAGACACAGCATAAAAATGTATTTGTTATGGCTGTCAAAAATACTTTATGCTATAGGAGTGAAAATTAACATGTTTAATTTATAATTACCAGAGCTGTTATCAAAGAACTTGACTTCTAAGAGGAAACAAGGTATGAAATAAAAATGACAACTTCTAGTTGATGAAGGGCTGACATATCCTTGAAACCCTTAAAAATATGTTCATGTCATAAAATTATGATAAAGTTGAAGGCTAACAAAGAAAAACATGACCAGACGTGTGTTCTCCCTCATATTTTATTACATTTAAAAAAATTATTTTTCAAGACACAAAATATGGAAATCGGTTTTTACTTTATACTTCAAAGTCCATACTATTACTTGTGTTGGAATATTTCTAATAGGAATATTAGAAAGAAATGAGAGGTAGCATCTTAAACCAAGTAAACTGCTTTATACTAATTACTCTTACTACTTGGGCAAACTGAACACTTACCATTTGATTCCTCCCTTTAAACTGAACAGTGAAAAAAGAGAAAGCACATAAGAGGGCCTAATTTCAAAGCTTTTAAAAACAAAAACAAACATTAAATTTAACAATTTTTTCCAGAGACAGTTTTCAAAGTAAATGAAGAATAACTAATACAACAATTACCTCAATGTTTCTTCTATTAACACAAAATAATCAAGACCTATAAAGAGGTTTTGTTAATATTTCTTTAGCACTTGATTAGCTTGTATTAACAAGCATTTTGAAGCTAGGAACCAAATAAAACTGATACCAAAATGATGAAAAATTTTTGTCTATCCATAATTTCTAATACCAAAAAAATCTAAAAATCTGGCAAAGACTGAATTTCCCCTAAATATTTAAATGCATTGTTACATACTATTTTACATATGGTTCCTCTTCAGAAAATTAAGACTATAGTAACTTTGTGGCCTAACAAGAATATTAATTAAAAACAAAAACAAAAAACAAACAAAAAAACCCAGCACCAACTCTCCAGCCTAGGGTTCAGCAAACTTTTTCTGTACAGGGTCAAAGAGTATAAGTATCTTAGGTTTTATAAGTCACAGATACTCTAATATTCTTTTATTTTCCTTATCCATTAACTCTCTAAAATGTAAACACCATTCTTAGCTCTGTGTTAGAGTGGTATGAAACTGCGAACTGGTCCCAAGCTATAGTATGCTGACTTCTGCTCTAGCGAAATTAATCTTATGATGCTTCAAATATGCAACATATACTTTACTTGAAAACAAAGATATCTTAAAATATATCATCTACATTTTCTAAGAGTATAATCCGGTGAAACAATAAATGATCTATTTTTGAAATGCTTCAATAAACCCACCATGAGTATTTTAAATATGTAATTCATTTATTCTCAAAGTTCATCGGTAATTTATAAAGTTTTAGACACCATGAAATTAATTTTAAACATACAAATGTTTTAAAAATTAAAATAAGAATTTGCAGTATTTCTATTTTAAATTGTAGCAACATTTCCAAATAATTTTCGAATAGAAAAGTAAAATTAAAATCTGTCCTTCATTAATTATACCTATATTAAATGCCACTGAACAAATATAAAAAACACTGGTATGAGTTTTAAAAAATTGTGAAATAATTTCAAAGAATAGAGTCTGCAGACAAATTTATGATATAGCCACTTAAATGTAACAGCAGAATACATTTTACTTAATCATTTCCTTCTAGTCCCCTAAATGATTTATGCATATGACATTACAAATGGCTACACATGTGCCCCAAGAATGTGAAGTTTGTGTCAAAAAAATATTAAGAAAGTTAATTCCACCAACTTTAACTATAAGCAAGCACTTTAGGAAAAGAAATGTTCAGGTACATATAAGGACAAGGAAGAATTTCCTAATCCTCAATGGAATGAAATAAAGTTTCCCTAAGGAAATGTATCATATATAGTTTACATCTTGATTATATTTAAAATTAAAAACTGAGTCACTAATTTCCAAAATATGAGCCAAAAAAATTTTAATTACATATACTTTCATATCATAAAACATCCTCACATTGATAAATCCAACAGATTTATGTTCACATATAACAACCAAAAAGCCCTAAGACCACATTTAAAATATGTCATAAGCAAACACTATGTATCCAAGTAGGAAAAAGAGAATTGCAAAATGATACTAAAAATGCTAGAAATTAGAAGAAAATTTGCAATGCTTGAAAACTCTTTTGGTAATGGAATTTAAAATGAATTAAATTAAACCTTTAGTATGACTTATAAATAATAAATTTCTCTAATTGAATTTAAATGCCACATAATTTTTAGTCAAAGGATATTTACTTGATACAGGCTAAGATAAAAATTTGTTATTATACAAGTTAGGATGTATTTTACTGTGTATTCTTTTTTAGAAAGAAAGTTTAAAATATTTCTTGGGACAGAAGAATGGGGACAGAAGTCAGCAAAAGAGTCACTGACTTGAATTAATACTGTTAGCCTCAGAAACTTATTAACTTGGCTTTTGAATAGCTAGGGAAAAAAACACAAGTATTTCTCAGAATAATAACTATTAAAATAGCATTCATCTAAGGTGAATAATAAGACTCTTTGTTAGTTCACATTAAGAACTTGGGGATTTTAACATATTTGAATTATCCTTGTTTGCCCTACCATTTTGCCTGCCCAAAACAAAAACCTGAGTCAGACCAAATCTTTAGAACTAACTCCAGTTTATAAGAAATTCAGGGATAGAGAAACTTGTTAAACATCACTGCATGGATAAATTCAACAAGACCCAGGATGTGAGAAACAAGGGTCTGTTTTCTTAAAAAATTAAGGAAAAAACTTAAAAGGTGAAGAGAAAACCTACAGACTAAAAACACTGGATTTATCAGCCAATTAGAACCAAGTGTAAAGAAAATAAAAACCTTTATAAAACCTGAACAAATGTGGGCTTTTACTAGTTAATATTAAAGAAGTGACAATTTTTAAGATATGACAAAGATAGTTTTAAAAAGAGTCCTTATCTTCTAGGGATACATACTGAAATACTTACTAATGAAATCATTTAAAGCCAGGGATTTAATAAAAATAATTCGGGAAAGTGGCTATACTTAAAGATGAAAAGATCAGCTGTGTGTTGATAACGGTCATGATTGGGTAATGAGCACATACTGGTCTACATTTGTATATATCTAAAATCTTCCAATATAAAGAATTTTTATTTCATTTTTAAGTTTGTTTATTTAAATCATCTCCACACCCAACGTGGGGCTTGAACTCCCGACCCCAATATCAAGAGCTGCATGCTCTTCCAACTGAGCCAGCCAGGTGCCCCTAAAGAATTTTTAATATCAATGAATGTTGAAAATCAATCAAGTAGAGATGAAAGATTTACCAAGAGTTCTAATTTAGAACCATATATTTAAAAAAAGATAAAAATGGAGAAAATTTTAACATCCTTTTCATAAAACATTAATAGTATCTTCAGAAACTACTTTTAAGTTATTACCTGTAAGAGGTTAAGAAAATCATTAGTTTAACATAAACAAACATGACAAATTCAGAAAGATTAAAAAATATATAAACCAATATCCAAAGAATTCTAAATATGCATTGTACACCTGACAATATAAAATAATTTTAGTTAACTAGTATTTTACTTACATTTTCCATATAGTTTGGCTTAAAGCCCTCTTGTTGTCGCCTCAGTTCCTCCTGTTCTCTGTGTCGGATCATTTCTTCCTCACGGCGTCGATGCTCTTCCTCATGTCTGAAAGATTTTTAAATAAAAATTTCAGCCTGGTTGACATGTAAGCCATGATCAGGTATTTTATTCCAGGTAAAACAAAATCACTTACACAAGTTACTTTATACAAAATCTGTACGTGATGACTGACTTACTAGATTTACTTTCCTTCTAGTTTGCTCTAAGCCTTTCATAAATCAAATAACCCAAAGAAATAAAGTAACTAGGATAAATCAAAAAATAGAGTAATAACATGTAACTAAGAGAGTTAATATGCTTACAGTCAAGAAATCAGGAGTCCAAAAGCTCAAACATGTATTCTATTACTGTATAAAGAGAAAAGCCTGGGATCTATCACTGGCATAATAGAGTTCTTAAAGGCACTAAGAACCAATCCCGATATAAGCCACTACAAAGAACACCACTGCCTAGTCAAAAAAAATCTATTAAGTGTCAAAGGAACCCTTAACAAACCCTCTCTCCCCCATTTTATCAACCCACTGAGGAAAACCTCTGGAACAGGTGTCAGCCTACCATCTGTTTTTGTAAATTAAGTTTTATAAGATAATCATCTATTTAATGTCTATAGCTACCTTTGGGCCGGAGCAGTGCTGAGTAGTTGAGACAAAGATCATATGAC